TCAGAACGTCGGAGGTAAACAAGAGAATTTGATCTGTCTTCCTTCATTTCATTTTATGTTAATTGTGTTAACTGAAACTTGGTTGAATGACAGTATAAGGGATGAGGAACTATTTTATACAACAAAATACAACGTCTTTCGAGGCAAAAAAAAGTTTGCAATAACACCTTGGATCTTTTTTCCTTTATTGATTTATTTGTAATAAATATTAATTATAATTCTCATAATGTATATATTATCGTCATGTATATCACCCCTTCGCGACAGTAACAATGAAAATGCAACTTCAATATACTTTATGAAAAACTGTTATCAACTGATTTGACTTTTCTTGATAACTATTCCGACGTAGAGAATGCAATTCTTCAGTTTTATTGTGTACTTGATAATATCCTTGACACTTGCGTACCTAAGAAAAGAATTTTTTTCGAAAATTATACTACGTGGTTTAATAGTCTTATTATTATTACTACGCTGAAAAAGAAAAAATCTGCCTGGCTGAAATATCAAATAACAAAATCCTCAGATGATCATATATCAATCAAAAGTTTACGAAAACAACTAAAATCAAAAATCACATCAGCTCTACATACAACCAATGAATAATTCTGTTAAGTCAGATCCCAAGAAATTTTGGGCATTTGGGAATTCGAAAAAGAAGACTATTCTCGTTTCACCTACTATAACATATAATGAGTCAAACGGTTTCGCAGACCACTGTGCCAAATCATTCATAAACGTTTTTGTTTCGATTTGTCGAAAATTAGAATTTTTTAGGTTTTCGTTACCTATTCATTAAGATCAATGGGTGCAATCAGGAATTGTTCAAACAAGAAACTGGTGTTCCCCAGGGTTCGGTGTTGGGCCCTTTGTTGTTTGATATTACTGATACCGTGGAGGTTATAAATGCGTATTCTCTTTTGTTTCCAAATGACCTTAAAATTTATAATATTATTAACTCGCTGCAAGGTTCGCACTAGTCTCCAATAGTTGTTTCCGATTAAAACAAATTGCGCTTTGAGAAATCCTTGAATTTGTCCTGCATGACTTACGATTAAACGTCCCCTAGAATGAAGGCCGCTTTTGGCTCTAAGATATTTTATCCAGGCATGATTTCGGGTCTTGCCATTAAGACTCTTCTTTTATTTTGGCACTTTCTCCAAAAAAACTTTAAGCGTAATAGTTTATTGAAAAGTAGTTTCGATTTTTTTTCAACTGACAAAGTTAAACATAAATATGCTTACATATGCTTTACCCACAAAATACGCAATGGATCGTCAAAATATTCCAAAAATGCAAACTCGCCCTTCATTCGCTTCCTGAAGAAGGGCGACGTTTCACCTCTTACGAAAATCCAAATACGAAAAACGTCTTTACGTCAATGTTCTGTTAAACATGACAATGTTTTGGCATTTTACTTGTCATTCTCGCTGCCACGATTTTGCTAGTTTCATGATTGCTAAAATTTATAAATGGTGTACAAGGGATTAAACATGTTTTTTGTTTCTAAGAGAATGTTAAAATTCTCGCGAGAACAAAAAACACTTTAATCTTGTATTACTGATACTACTTTTTCCACTACCCACAGATTTTTTCTAAATCCAAGCTGGAATTACTTTGGTCGTTGTTATTTCATCTATGAAAAACTAATAGGTAGGCTATTCACGGTGTTGACGCTTGTTTATTGTCGTCAAAATGATTACAAATTTTGTGATTTTTCGTGAAAATATGTGAAGTTTTGGAAGATATGAACAGGCAAAGAGAACTAACAACAGAGAACTACTTCACGAACGAAACATTTGACACGTTGAAAAAATTCTAAACTGTTGATTATTATTTTTTTGTTGTTACTGTAAAACAGATGCACAAAGACAATAATACTGTGAAAGTTCATTTTTAACGCCAAAAAAACAATATTTATTTAATTCTTGTCAAAAATGGTTCATTTTCTAATTCCGAAAAACTCGATATGGTCTTTTATAATTTACGAAGAGACAAGAGAAAATGCAGGAGAAGCAGTTCGAATTTACAGAATTAGGTACTCACATAGAAAATGCCCAACAAACAAGACAATAACCTGTAGCATTATAAAAAGCTTGAAAGAAAGAGGAAGTTTTGGTAAATTAAAGAAAACCAGAAGAACAGCTTCAAATTTCTGTGGGTAAAATAGCATTAGAATGCGATATTTCAGAAAGCTCTATTCAAAGAACTTTAAAACAAAAAAATTTAAACCATACAGAATTCATCTTGTGCAGCAATTACGGCCAGGTATTGTAAAGTTTTATTTTTTATTTAAAATGATTTCCATCGTTAGGAGATTTAAACAGAAAACTGACATTTTATTGCGTGGTTGAATTACACAATATGAACAAGGCAATAATTTTTTGAAAAAAAAAAAACATGTGGAAGGAGAAAAATCTGGTCATACACTAATCCATATAGGGTACGCGAAACGAAGAACCAAACTAAAATATTTTAATGTATGGTGTGGTATTATCAATGGTTACTTAATAGGACCATATTTTTTCAAAAATACACTCACTGGTGTACGATATTTACACTTTCTTCAAGAAGAATTACCGCTATTGTTGGAAAATGTACCTCTAGGACCAGAAGAAACATGTGGTTGCAGCAAGATGGAGCACCACCTCACAATGCAATTGTAGTAACTGACTATTTAAACAACATTTATGATGAAAACTGGATTGGGAGTAGAGACCCCACTGCATGGCCGGCTCGCAGACTAGATTTAACGCCATTAGATTTTTTTTTGTGGTGATGCATAAAAGATCTGCTGTATTTGCGACCTTTGGTCGATTTAGAAGATTTAAAAAATAGAATTAGGAATGTTTTATTTCACTCAACTTTCATTTTATTATTTTTATAGATTTTATTTTTTTTATCGACAAAAAAGTGTTTGTATCAGTGTAATCGTAATTTATTGCTCTATTAAAATCCGCCCAAAAAAGTATGCGCTGCAATTTGAAAAAATATGGATTTGCCTTGCGACGCCGACGCCACCTATGCGTCGTATTTGCAGTGTACTAAATTGAGCTTCCCCCTTCAAGCTAACACAATGGCGTTTATAGAATTTCAATATCTCTATCCATTCTCAAGATATTAGGCCGCGGAGTTTTAACTGGGACAGTCTGTATATCTCATGTCTTGAATATGGAAAAAATTCATCTTGACACACAAATAGCTAACAGAAACACGTAAACGTACCCCAGCAGAGAGCATAGAAAATGATTGAAAATACTGAAACATCACAGACCGCAGGTCGATAATACGTCGAATTAAGAGGTTAGTATTTTCGATTTATTTTCTAATGCTCGAGTGGTATTCGTTGTGATTATATAATCAATGTCAACATAATTTATTTGCCTATTATTTATAAAAACTGAACGTACAATTTTTATAATAATACACCCTGTTTGTATTCAAAGATTCCTGTTAATGCCAAGAAGAAGTAGATGGTTCTGATGATGACGGAATATCTGAATTGCTTCAAATCTAATCTAGGATTTTAGCACGATGTTGTTCGCTAAGTTTTAAGTAAACTTAATGAATTTGGCGTGGAATGGCCCGTTACTTTAATTAAGTATGTCTTGTAAATTTGCGCCAGAACTCGTTATTACACTCGCTGCAGAAGATCGGTTAAAGTGGTTCGTAATTCTTGCCTTTTTACTCTCTACCTTAACATTTCCTGCACCTAAACGCGTCCACCTACTAATTTGGTTTAAACTTACGGAATAGTTCTTGTACCAAACTTTTGTTGCTTTTCGGTCGTTATTTGGCGTCAAAAATAAGCATTTCGTCTTCACATTCGAAGTTCGTTTGACCATCATCTTTTCAAACAATCTCACCGGACATAAATCTTCAATTTCTTTGTTTGGGGTCAGCCACTTGCTTTCAGCCAAATTTTTCTCGCCTCATTAGGTTGTTTTTCCAAAAATGATACTATATTTATTTCTTTTGTTTTCACAACACCTTGTTTGTAATCAGATCCATTCTTTCGTTTCATATTAAATGTCTAATCCTTTAAAATATTCGCCACTTCTTCATCGGTAGTCTTAGCTCCTCAGTTCACAGCTCCTACTTTCGATGTTTACAAAAGTCTTCAAATTGTTTCCAAATAATATATGTCTCAGTTTTCACAGTATTCACGGGTTTTAAATGTTTCATTTTCATTTTGCACAAATTTTTGATTATTTACTTCTCGTGTCTCCCGGAAACTGTAGAAACATCAAGCTGATTACTTGATTTTTGTCGAACGAACCGAAAATTCGATTATATCACGTCCTCAACCACATAATCGTTTATTAATAAATTGAATATTTTGATTGGCTTAAAAATTTATTAATTATATTAAAAATTCTCGCTTATACGCGACGTATTTCTCAAGGCGACACGTCGAGTTTCGAGGATTTGCTATTCTCGAGTTATATACAATATCCATGAATTTAAAGAATGCAATGTCTATTAAGCTGGTAACCTGGTGCGTAACAAAACCCTTGGAAAACGGATTCCTTTGTTGTTACTTGTTTGCTGTTTTCTAGGATTTCATCCATTAATTCATCTGAATCATTGCCAAAAAGGTCCATGTTTACAAATTTTGACAATTGTGAATTAATAATATTTGAAATAAACTGTCAAATGTTTCATTCATGGTAGTCTAGAATGTGGTTGTAATTTTAGGCGAATATACAAACGTTTGTATACCCAAGTATACAAAGATGAGTATATTCGAAGTGGCCATAGTTACTGCAATAAATGCTGAAATACATTGTAATTAAGAAAAATTACACATTTCTATTGGTGGATAAAGTAATGAATGGTATAATCACAATAACATAATGAAAGCTTTTGCTTGTCGTAATTACAACCTTGAGTATCGAGTACGTATTTAGTTCCCTAATAGCATTCTTTTGATAAAAAGGAGGTTATCGGGTATCAAGTTCTATGTTTTATTTTATTCGCATTAACTACCCAAAGTCGTTATAATGAACACGTGTAAAAATGAATTTTCACTAGAATGTTTCACTCTGCGGCACACAAATCCACATATCTTTGTAATTTCGCAGTGGCAAAAACAGTGCTCGGGCAGTTTCATCTATGTTGTCTACAGGTGGACAGTGGCTATGTTTTTCGTTATTACTCTATTCTTGTCTTATGTGGAAAACTCGAACAAGCCAGCTTCACACCAAGCAATGTTTTTTATCTATTTCACAAACTGGGCTTACATTATGTCTACATTTCAAGCAATTGTCATCGCTATTCTAACTACTTGTGTTTATAGAAGGCTACTTAAGAATTCAAGATTGAGTAGTGTTAACTTGACATGTTATCAACTTTATTGGCTGAACAATATCGTCTCAACTGATGTTGCCTTTTTGGTAACGATTCTGTACTGGACCTTTATTTACGACCCGAAAGTGGATGTTCTAAGTTTGGCGAACATTTGTAGCCATGCAACTAATTCTGTGGTGACGATGGTAGACTTATTTGTCGTAGCTCATCCAGTTCGGCTACTACACGGTTTCTACCCGGGTGTGTTTTTAATAATTTATGGTTTGTTCAGTGCTATGTATTATGTGTGTGGTGGTCGTGATAAAAACGGATACATATACATCTACAATTTTTTGGATTGGAGAAAACCGTGGTGTACTTTTGGGATATGTATGGGGCTCGTTGTTATTGTGAATATCTTGCATAGTATCGTCTGGTTGTTGTATCAGCTCAGAAAATGGATTCATTTGAAATATTGTACTCCAGAAGAAGATGACACACATGGACGTAATGCAATAGAAGACGAAGATGCGGGAAAATTTTTAAATCATAAAGTGAACGTTAATTTAAATCTTTTTGAACATAAATAAACTGAAAGGCCAAAGGTTATTTTCCTTTCCAATTATAGTTACTTTTTAACGAAGATTTTATATTACTAATTTATTTTACTAATAAATTTCAGGAATTTCTTTAACACTGTCTCAAGATTTCTTATATGAACCTTAAATATAGGGTGCCACATATTCTAAGTACGTATTCTATATCTGGCTACAAATAATAGAGAATAATAATCGTATTTATGTTCGAAAAGTCTCTGCAATTATATGATATGATCAATACATGTAAGAGATTCATCAAATATGATACACAAATCTTAGTGATTTTTTTATATATACATGACGCAGCATTCTAATACATATGTTTAAATATATTTTATTTAATAAACACCATTAAGATCTAATTAATTGGACTTTACAATTTAAAATCATCTGCAGGTAGATCTATCAATGAATGGTAAAAATAAAATAGGGCTTGAATTTGGGCCTTAAGGAACCCCCGAAGTTGGAATAAATGGTGCAGACATGAAATTCCGATATCTTACGAAATTTTGGCAATTAGTGAAAACATTGCGAAAACTAGGAGTTGATAATTTTTTTATACTTAGTTGACCTATGCGGTCAAATGTCTTTGCAAAGTTCATATAGATCGCATCGACTTGTCCTCTATCATCCAGTTTCCAAAACAAACTGCGTTATGCACCTCAAGTTCGTGATTGTGGAATTTTTGGTTCAGTTAGTGTTGTTAAGAAGAAATGATACGTTTGGGGGTTGAACAAATCTGGTTCTACAAATATGATTTAGAGTTTTCTTGTATTAAAAAACAAATAACCAGAAAAACACTTTTCGATGGGAGGGTAACTTTAAAATGTTTTATTTCTTCATGAAAACTTTTACGAATTTTATCAAACGATTTTGATGAGTTTTAGGTATATTCTTAAATTGAGCAACTTTTGTGCCACATACATTGCAAACTACTGTTACAGATTTGGATTTGATTCGTATCATTTTTGTATCATTCCCCGAAAGATTAACACATTAATTTAACTAGATTTTGACAAACGCTGCGATTAATGTGGGGGTTACTATGATTAACTGATTAATTACTAGTAGATCAAATGGACCAACAACAGATTACATTTTTTTCTAAAACAGACTTAAATTCCTGAAAAACTTTTTCACCAATTTTACCTTGAACATTAGATACTGAATAAAAACTACCAGTGCTAAATTGTTAGATTCAACTTTTAAAATTGTATCAGCAAACATGGAAAATGATATTATTATTTGTCTTTTCCAAAGCTTTTGTGCTAATCAAATATGAAGTGCAACATTTTTCACTGATCAAAATTTCAATAAACAAATTTGCGACATGACGTCCACACGAATCGGTTGTGAAAAAAATTAAATTGTCACCTATAATTTGACGAATAGCCTGTTTTGTTTTTAGAAATACATTGTCCACATAGTTTTTTCTTAAGGTACTATCATCGGGAACTGACTTCATATTCTTGTTGATCTGTCATCCCCTGGGTGTTGTAGAAAGATTTTGGGAGCAGAGTTTGTGACTTCACATTAGTAGAATTCTTCAGCCTATTTTTGTGAAGGCTTGTCCACATATGCTGAGCTATCGAAAACTTCTTTTCACAGGCGATCTGAACCATACCATGATGTTCGACCTTAATTGTACTAGTCTTTTCATCTGAACATTTTTTATCTAACCAGGTAGTACTGCACTGGGACTGCTTCCACGCACAAATTTTTAAACTGTTTATTTAATAAACACTATTAAGATCGGACTAATTGCAAAATACAATTTAAAATCTTCTGTAGTAGTCTGTCATTATTATTAATCAATGATTAGATAGGTTATCATATCAATGAATAGTAAAAATAAAAGCGGGTTTAAATTTGAACCTTGGGGAACACCCAAAGTAGAAAAATTAACACTTTTTTGAATAAAATATGTCTTGGCAAAGTTCTCTGTCATCAACAGTTTCCGAGAGAAACTGAGCTATACCTCAAATTCGCAATTGTGAATTTCTAGTTCAATTAATATTGTTACGAAGAAATGACATGTTTGGTAGTGGAATAAATCTGGCTATACAAGCATGATTCAAAAATTTTTTGCAAATTTACTAGTTATAACTTTAAAAAAATTTATTTCTTCATGAAAACGTTCACGAATTTTATCAAATGATTTTGATAATTCTGCACAACACTGGGTTTGATAGTTTTAAATTGAACAACCTTGGTGCTTTATGGGGGTTATTATGATTGGTAAATTAGGTACAGTTTGCACATAAGAATTTTTTAAAGTGAGAACAATAGCAAAAGCATGAGCAAAATAACTAAATGACTTCAAAACTAGGTATTCTTGTGTACAAAAATTACCTTATTTAGTCACTGAAAGTTAACGTAATAATGTTGGGTGTTTTAAAGAGATAAAAACACTGACTTAACTTTTCGAATACTATTATGCTAAAACGGTCATATACCGTAATCTGCTACTTTTAGTTTACCTAGAAAAATAAACGCCGTTATTTAATTTATCAACTCATTAACGTTAATGACCAATCAAATACCATAGGCATAGCAATGACAGAACACGTATGCTTTATCTCTACCCGAGCATATGCGGCACACGTAAACATACTCGAATAGTTTAGAAATTAAAAGATGATTGAACTTATAATGACAACCGTAAGTGTTCAGTGAGCCTCTTCTTCCTTAATCCTTTTGTCTGACAAAAAATTGGTCGATGTTTAATTCTATAGAACTTCGCTGTCCCCTTACGTATGTATAGTTCAACAAAACCCGCTTCTTCGAAAAATTAGAAAAAAACTGATTTTGTGATAACCTTTATATATTAAAACAAATATAGATCAGTAATACCAGTAACACTGTAAGAGTGTAAATCATATCCTCCTTTTTTTTAATCACACAATATATTTTTAAAATTCTTGTAAAGTTTGGTATTCTGAATTCCGTGACACATCATATTTTAATCAACCATACTCCGCCACTGTCTATAATGCCAAAGCATTTTGTTACGAAAACACACTTGTTTATTTTTGGTCTGATGTATAATACTTATCTTAGGAAACCGACAGGGGCGGCTCATGCGTGGAGAAGCTCGCTCCACAAATTTCGATCAACATAAACATTAATAAGTTTTATTTCTTTCAAATGTTTCGAAAATATGAGCAAGTTTTGATTAACGATTTACCGTGTTGATAATAATGTAGCACTGTATTGTAATGTACTGTATTTAAATTTTAAATAAGCTTTTTAGGAAGGCCAAAAATCAAATAACTAGGACGGAGTGAAAGAAATTATGGCAAAAGCATAAACAAGTCTGTTTTAGTAATTTCAGTTTACCTAGAAAAACAAACCGAATATACATATTTTTTTATCGAACCATTTACATTAATTTCTAGACAAATAACAACAATGGGGAATTAATTACGCTTGTGCCTTCTCGACCACAACCACGTAAACCTGCTCGAACAGTCTAGACAATAAAAAGTCATTGAACTCTTTTAAAATTTTGTGTAAGTGCTATAGGTTTCGTGACGTAGAGTTTATAACCGTAGCAATAACGAAAGCTTTTGCTTATCACAACTGCAACCTTGAATGTCAAGTGCCAAGATAAAAAAACCGCTACCAATTTTTATATATTTTAGGTTTTTTTTTAATGTACTACGAAACGTCGGTACAATGAAATGCAAAAGTGAATTTTCGTTAAAACATTTCACTCTAACGCACGCCAATCCACACATCTTTCTAATATCGCAGTGGCAAAAGCAGTTTTCGGGTAATTTCATCTATGTTGTCTACAGATGGGCAGTGGCTATATTTTTCGCTACTACTTTAATCTTGTGCTATGCTGAAAACTGGAACAAGGCAGCTTCAGACCAAGCAAAATTTTTTATTTATTTCACGAACTGGGCTTACATCATTTCTACATTTCAAGCAATTGTCATCGCAGCTCTAACTACTCGGATTTATGCAAAAATACATGACAATTCAAGATTAAATGTAGTTAGCTTGAAATGTTACAAACTCTATTGGCTGAACAATATAGTTTCCACTGATGCTGCCTTTTTGGTAACGATCATGTACTGGACGTTTATTTACGACCCGAAAATAGATGTTCTAAATTACGCAAACATTTTTAAACATGTTAGTAATTCTATGGTGGCGATGGTGGACTTATTTGTGGTAGCTCATCCAGTTCGACTACTGCATGGGTTCTACACGGTTGTGTTTTGCACGTTATATACATTATTTACTGTATTGTACTATTTATGTGATGGTCGAAACAAAAATGGGTACAGATACGTGTACAATTTTTTAGACTGGAGAAAACCATGGTATACTTTGACGAAATGTTTTGGGTTTGTTGTTATTGTGGTTATGTTGCATGGTTTTGTTTGGTTGTTATATCATCTAAGGAGATGGTTTTATTGGAAATATTGTGATACAAAGGAAGAGAACAAACATGATTGTTATGCAATAAAAGGCGAAGATGGCAGGAAATTTTTACATAACAGTATAAACTCTAATTTAAAATCTGTTGCTTGAATATACAGTAAAATACTAAGTTGTTTTACCTGTTGCACTTCCTTCTCTTTCTTTTAGTTTATCACACTCTTTTCATACTCTCTCTTGGTCCCCAAATCTAAACATGGCATTCTTCTGACTCAACTGTCACTACAATTACCAACACTCAAACTTTCTTTCTTCCAATCGCCACCCCTTCTGTCCGTAGTTTGCTAAACATTTTTTCAACATCTTTCTGATAAACCATTTATTTTGATTGGGGACTTCAGTGCTCCTGGTTTTAGTAATTTCCATAGTCCGGCGTCCTCTAAAATTCAATTTTTCCAAAAATTTTCAAATTCACTGGAAGGAACACAGTTTAATATCTTAAATGATTATGGAAACATGCTTGATCTATTAATTTGTAATCTGGAACTGAACCTTGTTGTTGATCATGCTGAATATCCAATTGTCAAGGAAGATGTTTACCACCCTGCTCTATGATTCAATCTTGATTTAGAAAC